GAATGATTAAGCTATAAATGTTACATACAGTGGGTACGGAAAGTATTCAGACCCCTTTAAATTTTTCACTCTTTGTTTCATTGCAGCCATTTTCCAAAAATCAAAAAAGTTCATTTTATTTCTCAGTAATATACACTCAGCACCCCTTCTTGACAGAAAAAAACAGAAATGTAGAAATTTTTGCAAATTTATTAAAAAAGAAAAACTGAAATATCACTTGGTCATAAGTATTCAGACCCTTTGCCGTGACACTCATATTTAACTCAGGTGCTGTCTATTTCTTCTGATCATCCTTGAGATGGTTCTACACCTTCATTTGAGTCCAGCTGTGTTTGATTATACTGATTGGACTTTATTAGGAAAGCCACACACCTGAACTTTTTTGATTTTTGGAAAATGGCTGCAATGAAACAAAGTGAAAAATTTAAAGGGGTCTGAATACTTTCCGTACCCACTGTATAGATGATCACCAGCTCACCCATAGGCCTACACACACACACACACACACACTGACTGAATCTCAGTCAATATGCTTGCCTCTATGTCAATAGCATGGACATAGAGGCAATTATAGCCTGTCTAATACTGTAACAGCAGTGGATAGGAATTTCTCCAGCGGGATTTAAAACTACATTTAAAACAATCTTTCTGCCGGATTGCTGGAATACCATATAATAACGATCACAAAATGGATCTTTAGTCAAACTAACATCTGTATTTATAGACTGACATTTTTATTCATTAGCATCAGAGTCTGCATTTATCTTATTGACAGATATTTTATTCATTCGCATGATTGCTGTAACTATTCCGTTCAAAAACACCAAAGTACGAGAACAGAATGAACCAGACGTGAGTTTTTATTTTGCAATGTAGAAGTTAGCGGAAGGCACCAGGCAGGAGGGTGTGAGACGGGAGGCTCCAGGCTGCAGCCAGTCTTGGGCCAAAACAGCATTCAGGCAAGGATTATACTTTCGACGTCGACCACGAGTACACGATGGTCTGCGCGGACATACGCATGCCTGGCGACCAGCGCTACCAGGGCAACAACCGATCTACTGCGCATGTGTGGAACATGTCCGGCAAGCTGACTAGGGGTGAGTTCCGACAAAACGTTTTTTTCCAATGGCAACGGGGTGTTCCCTGAACACTTGTGTACGCAAGTGCACTGCATTTCCTTGTATTGACGCTCAGTTTTTCCATTTATTTCCTCTTCTGATATCCTTAAACACTACTGCATACATTTGCAAGGCACTGTTAGAGCCATTAAGAAAACGTGGTCAATCTGCACATGCTGTGGAAAAAAGGGTCAGCCAAGCAGGACATGGAGCAACAGTTTTCCGCATCGTGTATAGCAATAGGAAATTTTGAAGTTACCTGTGTTTAAGTATGTTTGATAGAACACAGGATTTAAGACTCTACCTGGAGACGTTTATTTTGTAACTGTCGTCTTTTTTGTCTAATAAGACGTCGGATATTTTTCTTCTTACATCTGCCTTCTTGCTTCACTTGATTATACAGTTATGCCCTCTTTGGAAAGTCAGAAACTTGTCCTGCGATAGTGGCAAAAGAAGTTTTAAAAGTTGCCACTACAGTCACATCACTTATCATCGATCGATTAGTGCATTCAATCATATCAGCAGCGTTTTCATACTTTCAGCCACTGATTTTACTCATGGAGCTGCCGGCTGCTTTCAGATGCTTTGCTCGTTTCATTAGATACTTTGGTGCAGTTTAGTGACTTGTTCGACTCGTTACGTGTTTTATTGTTGTCTATTTGGACTAAACACAAGAATGACAAGCCTCACATGTGACTGAATAGAAATTACGATAAATTATGTAATTGTTTCTTGTGGACAGACTGACTTTAATTGTCTCCATTATAAAAGGTGATGGGAGAAACCGAAAGATCTTTCTAATAAATAAATACAGTTGTGTGGGGCTTTTGTTGTTCAGACCTACAATAAACAGAACTAGACAGTGAATCATAATACAAAATCAAATATAAGACTTTGCAGCGATATACTTGAGTTTAATGTTATCTGTCCTGATGCATCAGATCAGTCCGATCAGCTGCAGCGTCCAATCAATATGACGGCTACCAAATAAGGGGGCCCCGTCAGTCAGTAAAAGACTTCCGCGAAGGATGCACTGGTGTATCTTCGCTCATAGCTTCTCAGATCGCTCCTAGCTCCTCGGAGCATATCCAGCTGCAGCCCGCAGACCTGATGGAAGTTGAACTTCCAAATGTGGTTTGTCCCAGAAGACCCCGCGCACAAGACGTGATAACGTTAATCTCGGCTCACGTACAGGATAGATTCTAATGCAAACCGTTTTATTCTTTAGAAGCCAACAACAGAACTTTAAATACACTTCTGAGAAGTTTTTAGGCAAGAAATCAACTGTGTAGATTTCGAATATCGGCAGTTTTACGAAAATGTGTTCAAACGTTTTTGGAGTTGGGAAGCGCCGCAAGTGCCGACCATGGTGCTGACAGGTGTTGTATAGCTGCAGTAACATTACCGGAGGCTGCACAGCAACACAATGGAGGTTAATCCTATCGGCCGATGTACGCCGCTGTAGGGTTAACCGGTCGACATGCATATCATCAATAACTTTAGGCACACACCCTGTGATGGTTGGGGTAAGAGTAATATACCTCGGGGGGGGTGTCAGGAATAGTTAGCTAGCTAGCTCCGGTTACCTCCCCCGGTCCAGTCACACAGACAACTGCAGCCAACACAGCTGACGTGTCCAGCAACAGCTGAACGATGGTGTTAATGTTCTTACCGCTATTCTATCATTAAATTCTCAGTAATGTTGTAAAGTTTTAGCCTAAATCAAGATACATCTTAGCACATAACGTATACTGATTACGTTGACACTTGACACCTTTTAAAACAGCTATGGGTGGGCCGAGCGGTCGAGATAAACGTCATCACATTTTGTATGGGTATGTAAGTTTTACACGTTTGTCTGCAGGCTGCAGCTGGACCCTTCTCAAGCTGACTGCAGAAGGTAGTATAAACAGAAGCAGTCCGCGGGGTACGCTCTCGAGTATATTCAAGGCTTCAGGCTGCAGGGAAAATCTCCTGGTGCGCCAGTCCGCGAGTTTAATCTCCACACTGTCTTCTTGTGTTGTCGATCAAGACAGTTTTCAGTCACATGACATGCGTGGTGACCTGGAGGGCAAAACAGACCAACATTGCGGCTCACACCGTGTCTCCCGCGTGGATCACCTTTCAACTTAAGAAAAAAGAAAGATATGAACGCAAACTGCAAGTGTTGGTCATATCCGACCCGTATAACGTTACAGCATCCGCTGCTGCATTTCTACCGTTAAAAACCGCCAGGTCCCTGCCGCCGCTCGACTGCTGTTCTTTACGTTTACCTTGTGGGGATTCCCTTACCTAACACAACCCAGGCTTGTCTCCTCCTCGATTAGTAAATCTGAAAGCACAATGTTTTCCACAATCAGCAAACTGCTGGTAGAAGGATTTAACAGAGTGGTTTTCTGTTAGAGTTGTTCAATGGTTCTGGGGTGCACATCCATTGCCAAGCAATAAATAATGACGGAGGAATAAAACACGGTGGGGCATCAGCGCTGGAACTCACTCTGGAGAAAACTTTGCCAGAAATCACGTCAATCACAGCACATCTTATTGGTTGTTGGCATTGCTCATCACACAAGATCTGTGTTAACACATTAAGAGCACATTTGTTTCTATTATGTCAACACCCCCACTTGCTCTCACATTGTTCTTCTCTTAAAACAAACATTAGGTTCTCTACCTAGCATCATGTAAATCCATACATGGTTAATGTCCAAACATAAACTTACTTCTTAAATCTTGTTGCAGGTTTTGTCATCACATCTGCTACCATCTGGTCTGTTGGGAAAATAAGTTTTGACAATTGCCCATCATTCACAGTTGACCTCAAAGTAATACTTTGTCAACATGTTTACACCTCTGTTAACAGGATTTTTTTGCTAACGCTATCGTGCCTTGGTTATCCTCATAAACCTTAGGTGGTGTGTAATTATGCTCGTCAATGCCCTCTAATAGCTGTACTAGGTACATACACTCGTGTATGCGGTTAACGCCTTATACTCTGCCTTACAAGTGGATAATGCAACAGTTGGCTGCCTTTTGCTTTTCCATTTAAATGTAAATGCCCTGTATTTGTATAGCGCCTTTCTAGTCTTTGACCACTCAGAGCGCTTTTACACTATATCTGCATTCACCAGTCATACACTGAGCCTAAGTGCTCAAACCGAAACTATCATTCCGATTAATGGCCAACCCGCTCCATCTCCTGAACCACAGTCTAGGCTTACACAATAACCTGTTGTACTAAGTTTGTCAGTTACATCAGCCGCCCAATCTGCATCACTGTACGCATGTAATCCCATTTTCTCACCATCACATTTCCTGTAAATCAACTCTTTCAGATATCGTAGTACATTTTTCACAGTAGTCCATTGCTCAGTAAAGTACTGTGACAGCTTACTTACTACAACTCAGATCTGGTCTTGTACATATAGTTAGATAAATTAGGCTGCCAACTGCCTCTGTATTTCTTGACATCAGTCATTTTCTCTGTGTAGCATATACGTGGGGTTACGGGGGATAAGGTTTTGAAAAGGCAAATAATGAGACTGAGGCCGATAATTATATTTGGTGTGGGTACCATATATTATGTGGAAACAAGGACAAAAAAAATAAACCACAATACCCAAAATATTTACAATCTGCAGAAACATTGGTTTTGATAAAGTGCATTTGAGGAAATTCAGTTCCGTTGACTCAGTAGTTCACAGAAACAATAAACAAAATACAGCAACAAATTGAGGAGTACTCAGATTTAAGGACAGTCACAACACACTATAGGACATTTTTTGTTCATGAAAGATGAACGCTATGTCCAAATGACGAGAATGATCCGTGGAACGCAAATAGTCCATAAGCAAAGGCTTACTGAATGGCCGTGTGTGTGAATGAGAGTGGAGGGGGTGAGCAAAGCTGCAACAGCCTCCTACCAAACCCACAGGGGGCGATGAGGTTGTTGGGGCAGGTTCTGTTCCAGGTAGTAGCTCGCCATCAACTGACCCGCAAGTGGCCTCACCTGGCCTGTATTAAATAAACAGGACCCATGGTTTAATCACTACTCATTATTTAATCTACTAGCTAGTTTTATCTTCTATATTTTATGTTCTATGTGTACACAATATCGTCCAAAATATGGCATAAGTAATTGTTAAATGACAACAACAACTTGTACAAAAGTACTTAAATGCATGTAACACCCAGAAATGTTAGGATTATTTACAACATTCCATTCAATACAACTGATAATCTTGTCACTCAGTATGTAAATAAACCATTTAAATACTTAAAGCCATAGCATTGAAACGAAGTGCTAGGATTGCATTATCATTCATTGAACCCAATAAAAACTCCATAGGAGCAATGGAAAGCAAATGCTACTAGCATTGCTAATGCTACCAGCCACCACAGCCCATTGAATTACATTGAGATGGCTAATGCTGTTAGCATCACGCCAGTGGACACAACAACAAACAGACTCACCAATTCCCACAGATATTCGACACACCGCGGCACCAGTCGGCTTCTAAAGACCACGGTAGTGGGCACTACAAATACACAATCACATGCTAGAGTCAAACAAGCATTTAAGATGGAAAAAAAAAAGGAAAACAGCATTGTTTGTGTAGAGACATACCGAGTGCAGCTGCTCCGGTGGCTTCCCCCTCACACTACTGATTGGGGAAACTCACCTCAGCTTGTTAAACGCGCCCAAGCGCTATGATAGGTTGAAAGTGTTCACTGAAACTACCATGTGACTCAAGGGTGTGTCTGGTGGAGTGTTCAGGTGACTGAGAAAAAAATGGGACCATGGAATTTTAACCTGGGTTACATCTGCATCATCAGTATAGTTCAGTTTTTGTTCATGGTTTACAGTCTAGCATCTCAAATAAATCAAGTATTTTTTCCACATATCTCTTCTGTGACATTTAAACACATCACTTTGATCAAAATCGATACCAAGAAAATGTTTCAAGTCTTTCATCTTGAACTTTGCTGTGAGCATCTCTTTCACAACCGTAAGTGCATTTTCATAACTGGCAGCAATGACCAAATCATCAACCCATATGATCATGATCACTTTCTTATTTTCTGTTTCCCTTGTGTAAACACAATGATCAGCTGGGTTTTGCAAAAAGTCATTGTCACTCAGATATTTGTGCAACATCTTGTTCCAATTTCTGCCCGTTTTAGTCCATATAGTGACTTTTCCAGCTTTAACACCAACTTTTCATTTGTGTAGATAATTAAAGCCAGAAGACTGAATCTGAATTGGTGCAGAAACAGGGAGACAAGTTTTGGAAGAATTGATGCTAAAGGCAGTAACATAGATTTTCGAGACCCAAATCTTTCAAATAATGCTAAAGCTTGTGGTAAAGAATTATTAATATCTGAAAGAAAGAGGATAATATCATCGGCATATAATGAAATGTGATATACATTATTAATATGAATTAGACAGATCAAAGTTCTCTGCCTAACAGCCTGTGCTAGCGGCTCAAATGATAAAGCAAACAAAATTGGAGAGAGGGGGCAACCTTGTCTTGTACCCCTCGGAAGACAGAACTGTGAAGAAACTGTGTGGCCAGTTGATACAGAGGCTGAAGGATTAGCATACAGAGTTTGGATGAGAATAAAAGAGGGTCCAAAGCCAAATCTCCTAAGCACAGCCCACAGGTACCTCCATTCCAGTCTATCAAAGGCCCTCATAGCATCTAAACTGAGTACTGCACATGTATTTTCATTCCTAGAAGTGTCAATTATATGCAACAGGTGTCTAACATTATCTGAGGCCAGACGGCCCCTGATGAAGCCAGTCTGATCCTCATGTATCAACTTTGCAACATATATATTCAATCTGCCAGAAAGAGCCTTTGCATATATTTTAACAATTTAAAAATGATAAAGGCCTATAACTCCCACAATCCGGATCCTTCCAACTTTTTAACAGTAAAGAGATCAACGCAGCCCTCTGATCTCTGTGAAAATACTACTTTTAATGACTCCAAAACCTTGGCTCTAGCAGAATCATACTGGTGTTTCTGAATTAATTCTATTTGTTGAATTGATTTTTCTAATGAACTGATTTTCCTTTTTTCGAGCTGCTGCTATTTTAGAGGAATATGATATACAGCTACCTCTAATTGGATTCCCACAGTATCTGAGGGTTTACATTTGAGGATGTATTTAATAAGATGAATTTGCTCAAATCTTTTCTTATGTTCTAAAACAAAAAAGGCCATTGTTTAAAGTGAGGTGATAAATAAGATTTAAAAGTAATTTTAACAGGAGAGTGATCAGATATAAGGATAGGTAGGGGTGATGGCCACAGCCGTGGCCTCACAACCAGATGAAGAGCGGCAACCTCATGCACTGAGTTTATGTTGTGTTCTTTAGGATTAGTTTATATACATTCATACACATTAGACATTTTGTTGTAAATATTTATTTGGTTACAAATAAACTTACAGGACACTTAGTTTATTTCACATACTTTATTTTAGTATACAGAAGCATCCCTTGGAACGCACACCATTAGTTACTTTTGGATTCTCATTTTGTTATAATTCTTGTTTCTGAGCTTACCAGTGTTGGATGCCACACCCAGGAGAGATCCAGGAAGTCTGCTGGCTTAAAGGGTTGGTGCTCGGAGCAGGAGCAGCTTTATAGGAGAGGTGGCCTAATTGGACACTACCACTGCTTGCTATGTCTGGGGGGGTGACTTTATTCTCTCCTTAAATATTTTGGGGTTTAGATTTATATTATATTTGAGTATTTTTGAGTTAAGGTTAAGTAAATGTACATTTCTTGTGGAATAAGTTTTTACATAAGTTTTGTTGTGTTTGTAGTTATGATGTAGTGTTGTTGTTGTTAGTCTTCCCCTGTGTGTCAAAACTGGTCTGATCAGCCAATATATAAGTCCCCTTTGTTTGTTGTATAGGAGGTCAGTTGTATTTTTGAGTCTCTTATGTTCACAGCTTTAGTTATTGTGTTTGTTTATTTGACCTCTTTTATGGGCCCAAAACTTTCTTTTGTTGGGATTTTTTTGGTAAATAAAACCCTTTCTTTAAATTTCCCTCTTGACTCCTCATGCCTAACTGCCTGGTCCCTCACAGTAGGATTTCAGTGTCTGAAAGACCTCAACAGAGGAGGAGAGCTAAGAATTTAATCAATTCTAGAAAAGAAGTAGGAGGATCAGTACTAGATCTATCTAGAACATCAACTGTTAAATTAAGATCTGCACCCACAATCAACAAAATGTTACCCATCAAAAAAATTGAGATTCAAAAACATTACGATACCAGACAATATTTAGCTGTATTTAAGGTAATCAAAGAATAACAAACGAGAGTCACTACCTGTCCCATCCACCTGTACATTCAATTTCCTTTCCACTACTAACAACCATTAGTTTTATATTGTGCACACGAAAAGGAAATTATTTTATAACGCATATTTTGAAATCTAAATATGAGATTTTTAAAATGCGTTTCCGGTTTACATGCAGTATGTATCCTTTTCCTACGCAAAAAATCAAGACACTTTACCCTCTTAACAGTATAGAACGATTATTTTTCAAATCAATTTCTAAGGACTAATTTTGTGTATTCTAAAGAAACAAAGTTGCCCATTACTCGATTAACATGCCAATATATTCAAAATAAATATCAAAAACATGCCTAATCAATATTTTATTCAATCATCCTGATGGCATATCTTAAAATGAATCCAATTTCCATGTCACTGATGTGTTGTGATAATAACAGACATTAATTAGGCTAGTTAACTTAAAACTTTAAAGGTTCAGTGTGTAATATTTCTGAGGCTCTATTGACAGAAATGCAATATAAGATCCATAACTATGTTTTCAGTGGTGTGTAAAGACCTTACATAATGATGATTTCAGTTTGTTTTTCAATTGAATTGTTCACATTATAGGTCACATTAAAGGTGGAAAAAGTTCTGACATGATTTATCTTTGTCATTATTTTACATCATAAGAACCTGGCATTTTAACAGGGGTGTGTAGACTTTTTCTATCCACTGTAAAGACTGATCTACCAAGGTGCGGAGCTGGACTGGAAATCACTGAGCCTTGCCTCCATTTCTACAAATAAACTACACTTCATACACGTACCATTACCACTAAAGGAGGCAGGGGAGTAACTGAACATCTGACACACCGAGCGGGAGAAATTAGGAGAGCGAGAGGGAGCAGTAGAAGCCATCGCTAAGGCCAATGAGAAAATATTTTGGGGGGAAAGCTTTGTTGTTTCCTCAGCCGTTTGTCACTTCAAAGGTGCACAGCGGTGGCAAGACCAGGGAATCGCCAGTGGATTGACCCAGGGTTCTTTGGGTTCTGGCCGGCGACGTAGCGTAGTAGACTTCGGTTTCAAAGGAAACTCGATTGTTGTTTCTCACTCAAAAGGTACGTAAGTTAAATGACCTAATAACTTTAAACTAAACCAAATGAAAAAAAATAATTCACTAAAGGTTTGCAAGACCTTGTGACTATAATTAAAGTTGCTGAGATGAATCAAAAAAGAACTAGTCTGGGGAAATTTTATCCCAGTTAAAGCTAGAAAATAGTCGAGTAAAATCTCCCATTTGGGAGTAACGTTAGACAAGGAGAATGGAGAATTTGGAAGTCACAGAGTTTCCTCCAGACCGGACTCTTGGAGGCAGGATGACAGGATGTGGAGAGGTGGAAGTAGCGAGAGATAGAGAGCGAGAGAGCAGAGAGAGCAAGCCCACGGGGTCCACTTGGTTTTGTTTGTCACTCATAGGGGCATGGTTACTCCAGGTTTTAAACTTTAATCTAAAGTAATGTCTTAGAGTATTTGCCCGCGTTATAGTCATATCCTTCCACAATATCAATGCTTCTTAATCTTAAATTTTATAAACAGTTACACAGATCCTAATTTCTAAGCATTACATAAAAATAAAAGTGAAAGCGATCATGGTTAACCGTTCTTAACGATCACGAGCCTCATTTATAAACAGTGCATAGATACAAAGCAGGGCTGAAAAAGTGCGTAGGCACTTCCCAAGCAAAGGTTATGATCTATTAAAAACAGACTTGACCGGAGAATGTGCGGTCCTCCAAACTCTGAACCATGCATACGCAAATAAACTGGATGAGATGAGAAAGAAATGAGAAACGGCAACTCACATGGCAGAAGGATGAAATTGTTTGAAATGAATACTGTTGTGTACTGTAAATTGAAATATTATCTCTGAGAACTGTAGGCTTAAAGCCTTTCTGAATAAACACACCCTGAAGTGCGCAACAAAACATCATTTAAGATCATTTGCAGAGCACACAAAAAGAACCAGATTTAGGATAATAAACACAAATGGAGATATCTGCTTCTGAAAAAGAACGCCTCAAATTTGTTGTACAGTTTAATCGGGAATCATATTAATTAATAGGCTACTTCCATGCAGTGCGATTTATCCTCATAAATAAGGTGAACAGGAGGACAAACTACATTTAAATTGATGCCGTTTTCAATGCGTCAGTCGAGCACATATTAGTGCATAGTTTCATATATTGTTATCACATGTTCGTTGCCTTGTCGAGCCAAACGCTGTGCGCCAACCAAGCGGCAAACTTCTGGTCTCCGGGCTGACACCAATATCGAAGACCGAAAACCTGCAATTCATCGAGTGGCCACCTGAGGCTGTTTGCAAAAGGGA